CGCTTTTCCGCTTCTCGGCTCTAGCGCCCCTCTCCTTTTCTCCTGGGGTGTCCAGCAGTAGAATCCCCCCCCCCCCCCCCCCCCCCCCCCTTCCCCTACTTCCAGCCGCCTCGTTCCCCCCGAGCCCGCCGCCGCCGCCGCCGCCTCGCAGCCCCGCACCGCAACCTTCGCCCACTAACCCGCTTTCCGTAACGCTTCTCTCATCCCTTTCTACCAGCCCTGCAAAATGCCCGCTGTCGAAAATCCCGCAAACGCCCCGACCGCTGTTCCGGCTCCCAATGTCAAGCCGGCAGAAGACGTCGCGGCCCCCCCGTCGTCTGTAAACCCCTCTGCAGCCCCTCCTGCCCCCGCAACCAATCCGCAATCCACTGATTCCGCTCACGAGCCCGTCGTTCCCACAGTGCCCGGCGTGGCTGCCGAGCCCGTTGCTTCCGTCGAGTCCGTTGCTTCCACGGAGCCAGTCCCCACGGTCGAGCCTGTCGCTTCGGTCGAGGCTACCACCTCTGCTGAGCCTGCTGCTGCGGCCGAGCCCGCCGCCCCCGCCGAGGCCGCTGCCCCGCTGAGGAAGGAGCCGGGACCTCCGCCAGGGGGCGTTCGCTTTGGCAACGTCGAGATCGTAGCCCCGAGTGAACCGGTCGCACCCCCCCACCCGCAACCTGCAGTTCCCGAGGAGGACGACCCTGCGGACAAGGATTTCCAGGTCGAAGATGCCGCTCATGGTGACGAGGAAGACGCCGACCCTGATGCCGATGCCGTCCAGATTCCCGAGGGCATGCCTGAGCTGCCTAAGGGTCTGCTCAGCCAGCTGCTTGCGAATGGCTCTCTGGGAAACAAAGTCTTGCACAAGGCCGCGGCGGAGGGCGACGTCAAGGAAGTCCGGAAGCTCCTCGCCGAGAATGGCGAAATGAAGGGCTTGATCAATGATTTGGATATGTTTGCCTACACGCCACTACACATCGCTGCGGAGAATGGTAACTTGGATGTATGCAAGGTTCTTATCGAATTGAACGCTGACGTTAAGGCTTGCACTAAGATGTATTCTTCCACAGCACTGCATTACGGTAAGCGTCTTGCTTCACCTCATTTCCACTCTTTGTACCCCTTTCTTGCAGTTTTGTACTAACGCGTGTCATTTTCACTTCTCTGTGTTCAGCCGTTTTCAAGGGTCACGATGATGTCGCAAAGCTCCTTCTTGAGAATGGCGCCGAGGTTAATGCGCTGACCGATGACAAGCGTACCCCGCTCTTCCAGGCCGCCTTCAAGGGCCACCTTCCTTGCGTAGAGCTTCTCCTGAAACACGGAGCAGATCAGAACATCCCGAACGATGAAGGAAAGACTCCTGCTCAGGTTGCGACGACGGATGCAATCAGGGAGTGCTTCGAAGCCGAGCCTGCGACCAAAAAGAGGAAGCTTAACGCCAACGATGAGCCTGCGAACTAATTGTGAATAATTTAGTGTACTAACGTCATAAAATGCTGCATACTAACTGCTTTGACATTCACAAAGGGCCCGGTTGTCAACCAGCTCTTGTACAGGAAAAAGCTTGTCTTGAGGCGCTAGTCATCCCATGAGTCAGGCACGTCTTCACCCATTACAGAAGTTGGTGGCGCGGCCGGCAGTCCGTTCCTGAGTTCTCTTCTTCCAACCTCAGTTCCTTCGTTCCATGACTGACTCGCCATTGCTGCGAAGCTGCGGTCCTCTGTTTTATTCGCTCCCTGGCGGGATGCAGAAATCCTGGCTTCTAGGGGTTGCGACGGTGTCTCAACCGAGACACCCGGCTTCGTAGCTAGTGTGTTCTGTGCGAGCAAGGCACGTTCTGAGGTGCTAAACTGCACGCTGATGCCGATGAGATTAGAAGACATAGTCGTTCTCTCTATGACACGGTAAAATCCAACATGATCTCTTAATTCGGATTCCACTCTCCCCTCAATGGTGGCAGTCGCAGGGTATCGTGTAGAACCGGCAACATGTATCACTAGAGTTCTCCCAGATTCAAGTTGCCTGAACTTCCGCTTTTCATGCTCTCGTGCGACAAGAGCTTCTGAGAGCAAGGGGCGTGGGAGAACTGGCTTTACACCGGCCCCACGGTGGCGCACAACGAGTTGTCGACTGGTAGGCCGGCCTGATGACTCCGACTCGAGCTTGTAGTACTCGTCTGCCAGCGTGTGCACGACAAGCCGATGCAACTGCGGAAGGTCGTCAAGGACAAATTTCTTGGCCTTGCCGCCGACAATCTTCCCAAACTCACGCTCGAAAAATGCTAGCATTCCAGTTTCTCGTTCTGCAAACTGAAGCAGGAACTCACTGTATCGTGCTGGAGCAGCCCCGGAGGCGTCACCCAGAGAGGATCCTCCGTCCTTCCCAACAGCCCTTGCAAATCCTCGCAAGCGGCTTTGTCCTGCACACTCCTCGTCGCACGTTAGTCGGACGTCATCCCCATCTTCTCGCGATCCACCCATTCCACCCCGCAAACACTCGGCTTGCTCTTGTCGTCTGCCACAAGGGCAAGACACAACTATCATTTCGCGACATGGTGTATCTGGGCATAGCATGCCGGGGTGACAATTGCTCGGACAAGCATGCATGCATTTCTTACGGGCCAGGCCACACGGCTGTGAGCATCCCTCAACGGCAGAGGGCTCACATTCATTTGGATAGTTCCCGTGGCATGCATTTCTGCAGGCATGAACACCGCAGCGTAGCGCTCGTCCACAAGCTCTTGAGCACTTGATCCCTCTTCCACCTACATGGCAGGGAACGAAACGACTTTCGCCATGGCCACCGATGCATTCAAACAACATGTTCTCCGCGCACGGAGGACACTCACCCTCGTGGCAGTGGAGAGGGCATTGATGACCACACTCTCTAACAATTGAACAAGTCTTGCCACATGACGGCAGTGGAGTTCCACACCGTACTGGGGGCGGTATTGAGGCAGATCCACACGCGCAAAAGAGAGGTTCTCTGGATAAGATGCCGCACGGCGGGCACGCTCCGTGGTGCCCGCAAGCAATATCGCATTCATGGATGCCACAAGACAGCTCTTTCCCGCAAAGCTCGTTGCATCCATGTCCGATCCGCCGCCTTTCCGCGTTCGTCAGCCCTGGGCTGTATGAGGATCCTAGCACACTCACCCACAAATTCTCGCTAGATACGACGTTGGGCCTTGGCAACGCCTTTCTTTTCTTGAAGAAGCAGCAAATCGTTTGGCAACGATGCCGCCGACACGTCTGCCCTTCGTTGCATTTCTTACTGCACACAAGGCGCTCCCGCAGTACGTCTGGCTTTTCCCCGCAAATTACCTTGACCACTGTCGCGGCGCACCTGCATTCGACCATGACCTCTGTCGTACAAGGCTTGCATCTGCCGTAATGGGCACATGTATCCTGGCACATGTGCCCTCCTAAACACCCGAGATCCTTTTCACAAATGCCTCCACAGCTTGGTATTGGATCTGTACAAGATTTTCGTGCCTCTTTCGCTTCGATAGAAAGTAAAGTCTTGCCGCATGCACAGGAGTTGACGCTAGTAGCGCTTGTGGCGCAGGGACCGCAATTTCCTGGATGGCAACGTCTGTCACATTCATGGATACCGCAGTCCAGCATACGCCCGCAAATACTCCCGCAAGCATATTGCTCTGATGCGACTGAACAAGGAAGAGTCGTATGGTTTCCCCCGCAGTAGCAAATGACTTCCACCATGGCTTCGCATTCGCCGCAACCAAGCCCATCGTTCCTAGGATGACAAACCTTTTCGCATGGGTGTGAACAGGCATCTCTGTGTTTTCCGCATATACCTCCACAGGAGACTCCATCAATCGGTAGTGGTTCTCCACACTTTCTGAATATCATTTCTTTGGCACAATGACAGCGCGTTGGGGACGCTTGGACTACGCACGGGGCGCATGGACCTGGATGGCACAAACTTGTGCATTTGTGGGGACAGCCGCTCCCCTTGGCACCTCTCGGCCTTAGACAAGGGTCTCCGCAGCTCCCGGGTAAGACACCGGGTTCGAGTTGGGGATTTCTGCGTCGGCCGCAAAAACACTTGAAGTGGATTGATTTCGGATTCCCGGACGGGGCTCGACATCCAGGACAATTAAAGCTGGTAGGTGACTGAGTGTTCGCTTGGGCCGTCTGGTTTCCCCACTTGCGAGCACAGTGTAGATGTGTGAGGGTAAAACAGACATCACAATGCCAGATCGGGGCCGCGCGCCTAATTCGCTCCAGGCAGACGACACATTCGACCGCTCCGCGTGCGACTTGTGCAGATAATCGATCGGATAGCTCTGTAGGGCTTTGTGAGGAGGTATGAGGAAGATTGAGATCAGTCAAGTGAGTGGAGCGTGTTGTGCGACCACTGGATGTTCCTCGACGTTTCGCGCCGCGTCCCCGGCCGCGTGGGATGGGAAGGGGGTTTTCAACGAGAACGGAAAGATCAGGGATGCTCCCATGCGAAGTATTCGGGGAGGTGCGCGTAGAGGAGAAGGAATCCTGGCCTGGGCGTGCGCGATTGCGCGACTGGCGACGGCCGCGTGCACTTCCCCTGCCACGGCCCCGACCGCGACCCCGTCCGCGTGAAGAACCGCCGCCTGTGGGGATGTCAGCAAAGGGGGATATGGAACGTCCAGCTGCCGTGGGCATGGCTCGGAAGGCCTTGCTCGAGGTTGAAGATAAAGTTGCTTCAGGCAGTGACGTTGTCGTGAGGGTCCTTTTATCATTCGAGAGAATGAGTGTGGGATGCTTGGTGCGTGGCCATGTGGCATTGATGCCAGCGCAGCAGGGTCACGTAATTCAGTCGTGATGCAATGGTGCTGTGACATCACGCATACAACCGCTCCTTTGGGAATTTCAAATATTTCTCAACCGTTTACACATTTCATGCAAGAAAAGGGAAGCTACGATATGGAAATGACACGTGTACACTACAGTATTGCCGCCGTCGGCAAGGACAGTGTCGTATACTGTAACCCCTTTTGTAACCCCTTCTGTAACCCCTTCTGTAATTTCCACTTCATGTGTTGATCTTCGCACATACCCCCGCCACCGCCGTCACAGCATAGTCGAGCTCTAGTCGGCATTGCTCGCTAACGAACGCAGGGCCGCCCACAAGGTTCTCATCTGCCGCCTCATCATCTCTTTGCCTGTTCCCTCTGGCGATGCCCGCGACGCAGCGATGGTGGCCACCACCATCGCACACCCATCTCCCTCGTCCGAGCCGATAACGCTTCATCTCAATGGTGGAACCTCTGGTTACGCCGCCTTTATATTTTCTCACTCAGATGCCTTCCGTTGCCGCACCACTCACCGAATCCTTGGCGATTTTGTCGGGACACTACCGAAACACACTGCCCAGAACCAATATCTTTCCCTCCCACTGGCCCTTTCGTACGAAGAGGCCGTATTCGGGATTTCTCATGGCTTCTTTCGCCTCCGTGACGCACACCCGTCCAACCTTCCCGCTCCACAGTCAGCGGCTGTCACCCGCTTCTGGGATGAGAGGAAAAAGGAGGAGGAGCGTCAAGCGGACGAGGCCTTGACACATCAAGAAGAGGAGCGAAAGCGAAGGAATAACAAAGGCCTCAAGCGCTCTCGTCACGACCTCGAGAACAAGACGCCTGATGTCACCAGCCCTCTTGCTGTAGGCGACACAATCGAAGAGCCGCCCCGAAAGGCGGCGCGCTTTTCTTTCTTCCATCGTGCGATGCATGGCTTCCGCTCCGCCCTCTACGCCATAGTGCCTGCGGTAGGACCGCCACCCCCTCTCCCTGCACTTCCAGCTGCAGAGCCGGCAACAGAGCCAAGCCAGGAGGAGCAGCAAGCCCGAGCAAATGAGCAATCTCGAAACGACGCTTTGAAAGCCCGTTTGAAGCAACAAGCCCGCGCGACGACACTCGTGGTCACTTCTACCGAGGCGCGGCCAGACGAATTAAGTAGCTACATCGCAAAAGAAGTCAAGTTACCTCAACCCGTGGGTGTGCCGCCGGAACGGTTAGCAGATCGCGTCGCGGTGTTTGCTGACCTGCACGGCAAGGGCTACTATCTCAGCTGTGGGGCAAAGTTTGGTGCCGACTTTTTGGCGTATGCCGGAGATCCACAACTCTTTCATGCTGCCCTAGCAGTCGTGGTTGCCGCATCGGATGAAGACATTTCGCCTTTGGATGTGGTGGCGTTGGGCAGGCTCGGGGATTCCACCAAGAAGCGCACTGTCCTTGCGTTTCGGGATGAGGGCGCTGTGCAGTATATCGGTGTGCAATGGGAGGAGACTCTTCCGTAAAGTATTGTTATTCTGTTGAGCCGAGTGCTCTTTTGCCCCATACGAAATGTAAAGGAGGAATATCTTTCAATATTAACTTCTCTCCTTCGGAAATACACGTGAGACCGGGTCATTGTTTGATGCAATGAAGGCCCCTGTCACGGAGACTCAAAATGGAATCACCGAGGCACATGATTACATTTCAATGGTGTTCCCGACAATAAAAGTGAAAGCATCTTTGAGGTTCAAACCTAGTTTGTTGTTCGAACCTGCGCAGAAACTTAATCATCGGGTGTCTGGCGTCGATGTCTTACAAACTGGGGCGTTAACAACTTGCACACTACAATACCCAAGGGTACTGTACCTGTCTTCCTCAAACAAGGATATGGGGCAGTTAGATTTCCTATAAATTTTTGTAGAGGAAAATAATCCTAGTTGTGCAGTGCCTTGGTTCAATCAATCATTTCGCATTAATCCGTCTCTGAGACCGGAGTCCTGGCACACCCGTCGGCCTTTTCACGCGTTGACGTTCAATTTCCGCTTCATTTAAACCTGACCGTCGCTATGGTCTACCTGGACCAAAATGCGTTTGTGTCCGAATTATCGAAGCTCTACGCCCGCAAGTAAGTCGTAGATTCAAATATAGCCAGGCGCTGTTGCAGGAACTGCCTCACTCCTCGACAGAGCAACTAACATGGCTCTCTTGGCGCGCTCTCTCTCAGCAAGGCGTCTGGTTCAGTATGGGTTACCATGAAGCGAGTCGAGAGGCAGATCTCAACTGGAAGGAAGAAGCTTGATGTAAGCGCTCACGGCCATCTGTTTTGTTCTCGAAATGGTTCTGAACGACAGCGCAATTCTGACGTTTGAATTTTCCTCACTCAATCTGACCCTATATGCAAATTCTGCGTAGCACGATGGACCTGTTTGTGTCGTGCGTGCAAGTGACGGCAAGCGAAAGATCGCATGTGTAGTTCGGTCAGGAGAACATGTACGTTGTCTTCGTCTCTCACGGCGAAATCATTCAAGTCGCGACTTGGCAGCGCAATTCTTGCCTCTGACCCAAAATTTTCATCGTGAATTAACGTGTTTTGTAATGCTTGCAGGTTCGCTTTCATATGGACTTGTTCACTGTGATCAAAGCGAACACCGACACGCTTATCAAACCGAAACGGGTGAAAAAGAAGGCGAGCAAAGCGTCCTAACTGCCAGATGTCTATGAAACCGCGGGCTTCAGCATGAAGCATTCTTTATAAGACAGAAAAAAAACAAAACTTGGCTAGGTGTCGTTTCACTGTCATATTTGACGAGTTCCCCATGGTTTTGTCCCACGCTGTGAATAGACAACCGCATACTACTTTCAGCTTCATGGCACTACGCTGCTCTGTCATGCACCCATTGGCGATGGGTCAGCGATGCTAGTTGTGACATACTGTGGACGTACTGCTTGCATAGGGAGAGTAGGGATCTCTGTGGGCGGTGTCGGTATGTAAATGACTTCACTGTGCGATGTCTGTCGTTGTGGAAAAGTCTGTACCACCTGCTCAGATTTAGGGCGAAGAGCCACGTGCACGGCGGGGGATTCGGGAGTTAGATGAACAACTGGATGTTTCGTGTCGACTCCGTTTGATTCAGCTGTGTTGTACATCGGAGCCGGTATCCTGTGTAGCGGGGCGCCCTCTGCGGTTGTATATACCACTCTTTGGGAATGTTGCAGAGGGCTCGGCTCGGCCGAAGAGACAGTCGTTGTGGGGACAGGCGACGGCCAGGGTGCGGTTGGGGGCGCGTTTTCCGTAGCTGACATATTCTGCATGGACGTGGTCGGGGTTGACGGCATAACGACGATCGCTGATTGTGGACGCACTAGCTGCTGCTGTTCGAAAGGTGCGGTGAATATCTCCGTTGCCTCCGTTGGCGGCATGAGCATCTGAACGCGGGGCAGTGGGGGCAACTTGGGGGAATTGTTGACATCAATGTTCACTAGATGCTCGCGCACGGCCATAGACTCCCATCGGATGCTCTTTGTGGTGTCATTTATGACAGCAGAATACTTTTCTTGGGCGAGCCAGAAGGCGTGATGTGCGCACTGGAAGACGGCCTCGTGCTTATTGTAGGTGGTCTTCATGCGCTCCATGATGGCGGCGAGCTTGTTGTCATGTTCGACGCGAGCGGCGGCGAGCTTACTGACGTTGCGGTCCAGAATTTCGCGCTTCTTTTGCTTCTTATTGAGCTTGTCAACCTTCTTCTCGTAGCGCAGAACCTCTGTGTAGGACATCTCGACCTGAGCGTAGCCTTCCTGGACGGTCTCGACAGACTTGAGATATGCCTCGAGGACGGCGGTAACACGGCGGTGCGGGGTGGCGGCGCCATCATCCTCGAGGATAAGGCGTTGTAGCTGGCGGACAGTGCCCTCCACCTCACGGGCATGCGAGCGGACGACGCCATCGTTTGCAATGGCAGCGTGCAAGGCAGAGGCGAAAGAGCTTTGGTGCTTGGCGATGGCGGACCAGACCTGAGGGGTTGCTTGGATTTTCTTGATGAGGCTCTTGATGGCGGTTTGGGTAGCCTCCAGCTTGCTCCTGTAGTCTGTGTACTCGGCATTGATGCCACTCTTGATGGTACGAGAGCGGGTTTTGGCTTTGGCGAAGTGCTTCTTGGTGGCATGCTTGATGCCCGGCATTGCAGCAGTGGAATGGGATGCTGGCGGCGACAATGGGATACTCGCAAGAAGGGGTGAGGGGGTGGGAGGGGGGAGGACGGGGGCAGGGGACGGGGGAAGGGGACTGCTGAGAGTGAAAGAGGTGAAAAGGAGCAAGGGGGCAGACGGGGGGGATTTTGAGAATCAAGGGGGTGAGGGGGTGACTCAAAGATGTTGTATGACTCACAGCTGCCGCGGTGTGCGACGTGGTGAATGATGCGATTGGTTGAAAATGAGAATGAGGTTGTTTTAGGAAACTTACCGCTAGTTTTTCAATTAAATTTTGTCATGCGAGTGGTCGTATCTCAAATTGATCGCGATGCACTAAGAGCGATTACCGGACACCTCAGCAAGACGCCTCCACTTCAACCACGACGACATCAGCACCGGCCTTTTTTAATGCCATCTCAGTGCGCATGGCGCACAGGACCGAGTATCACGTGCCACCGGCCCCCACTGCTTACATCCACGCATTACACGTGGACGGCAGTAAGACGGGAGTGAAATTGGCTTACATTAACAACCACTCTCAATGTTTATCATATGAAACGCTTCTTCCGGAAAATAAAAAGACATTCGCAACTTGACCTTACAGTACGGTATCAGCTCCCTTTCTCAATCAACACTCATCATACCATCGAAAAAAACAGAAAAAGCACTAGACTCCACTCGAACCCCTGGCACATCCAACCTGCTGATACGTCAACATTCGTTTTGACAGGTTATACCGTTCAAATCAAGCAGCAACTGGCTTCGGCGACTCTGCCGTGCTCTCCGGCACCTTGGTGACAACATCATCACCTGCCGACATTGTAGCGACAGCATTGTCCACCGCCTTCGACAGGTACTTGATCTCCGGCATAGTAATGTCCAGCTTGGCCATCTCCTCGCTCACATCCTCAGCCGCTGTCCTCGCGGACTGGGTCAGCGCCACCAGCGATTTCACTAATTTATCCTGACGAAGCCAGAAAGCCGTTTGGGAACACTGCATCACAGCCTCAAACTTGGCCGACGTTTTACCCATGCGCTCCAGACTCCCATCGATTGCGCTTTGCTGCGCCGATCTGGCGCCTTCCAGCTTGTCCAGGTTGCGCTTCTTCCTAACAGCCTTGCCATCCTTTTCCTTGGACGACAACTTGCCAACTTTCTTCTCATAGCGTTGCGTCTCAGTGTACAGAGTCTCGACCTTCTTAAAGTCAGCCTCGACAGACTCGATCTCGGCCAAGTAGGCCTTGATATGTCCCAGCATTTTAGCGGTATTGTCACCAATGGAGGGTTCGGCGCTTGCGTCTCCATGGAACTGACGGGCGGCGGTAACAGTACCGGTGGTGGCTTCATGAAGCGGGCCCTCGATGGGGGACTCGGTGTCCACGAGCTCGGCAAAGCTCTTGTGAGTGGAGGCAAGAGAGACCCAAGCCTTGGCAGACGAGTCGTGGATAAGGACAAGGGCGTCACTGATGGCCTTCTTCTCGCGTAGGAGTTGGTTCTTGGCGGCGGTGTACGCGGAAGAAATATTGGCTTCGATGGTCTTCTTGCGCGTCGTGACCTTGGAGATACGCTTCTTCATACCGTGTGTGATGGAAGACATGGTCGCGGAGAGAAGTAGGAGTGGAGAGTGGGGCGTGGGGGTGGGGCGGAGGGGAGTGGAGGGGTGGGGGGAGGAAGGTGAAGAGGAAGGTTGCTGGGCGTTCGTGAGAGTGGAGGGGTTGAGGGAGAGTGCAGCAGGGCTTATATACTGTACAGCACAGGAGGGGGGGGTCTGTTAAGGGTCCCAGACGGCGACGAAAAGGGGGTTAGTGGTACGTGTTCGGCAAGAATACGGGGCATGGGGGCGTTGGGGCATCATGGCGTGATCAATGACATGCGTAGGGCCGTAGGAGTGGCGTGCAGTGGACATACGCTGGACGCATCGCAGGGCCGGGGCGCGGGAGACAGGGCGGGCCGTGCGACTTGGCATGCCGCTGGACAAGCGCAGCACCACTTGAATGTGACGGCAACGGGCGCTGTTACCGAACTTGAATGAATAGATTTTTTGCAAAGTTGGGCGACGTACGAAGGGTACCGTATCCCCGGCGAGATTTGGGTTGCGCCGGCCAATCGCGCGGGCACACGCCGCGCGGCACATCCCCAGCGCAGCCGCTTGCACGCCCGCCACGCCACTTGACCTGGGACTGCGCAATCCTTAGAGAGGCCCTCTCGAGCCAGTGCAGAAGTGTCGAGGTCGTGCTGCACAGTCACTCCATACACGTTGGCGCAGTGTCCCCGCTGTCGCCGCCGCATTGGCGGCGGCGCGTCTTACAGTGGTCGCGTCACAGCGGTGACGGCAACGGGGCGCCTTTCGCCCGTTCCTTCATGTCCCGATTGACGTCAGATGTGGCGGAGATGGACCGCTTTTTTTGGGAGGGGCGCCACGCACGCATCGCCTATTCTTAGTTTGTACTACTGTACTGGACAAACTTTGTAGCCCCTCGCGGTCGACAGTGCGTGGACCAGGCGCGGCTTGGCCAGTGCGGCTTGTTGCTGGCGCCCGCGGGCGTTGGATCGCCGCCCGCAACAACAGCCGTTCCACGTACAGTATGGCGACAAAACCCTTAAACAAGTACTTTCCCCATTTAAAAAAGAGAATGCGTTCCAAATTACCCTGCCGGGGAAGGGTAGACTTGCTCTCGCTCCG